TCCCAACGCAAGGGCTTTGGCTCCTCCTGGATTTTGGATACAAGGTCTTTGGTGCTGTACTCTCATATTTGTTGCTTCCAATCATATCCTGGCGGAAGTGGTGGAAGGGGTTTCAGAGCTCGTGGCTGCTCGAAATAGCCCCTGTTTGGTTTGGTCGGGTCGTGACTTGCCGCCATTTCGTCTTGGTGCTGGCGAGGATGGGTGCAGCCCACGCAGCTTGTTGACCGCTATAACTAAACGAGCTCTGGAGACTCGTATCTTATAAATGAAAAAGATGTTGCAGTGCCCGTCTAGATCTAAAATAGCCAGCAGAGGTCGGAACTTGATCCTAGGTTGCGCTGATAACCCTCATCTCAGCGGTGGCTCGCTGTCGTCGGGGCACATTGGCGAGCCTTGCGACAAACCCTGCGTGTATGACTGACATGGGTCATCTCGGGGCCAAAATATGATCTCTGGTTCTGTTTGGATGAGTCCTCATGCACTTATCCACTCCTATGCTGCATGATGCATGGTGTGCAATTGAAGCCAGAGGTGGGCAGCCCAACTATTTCGAGGCTTTCAAGAAGACCTGGCACAGCCATCAAAAGGGTCACAAGATGCGATGGCACATCCACTACAACGATCACAAAATGGCATTCTATTCATCCAGTTCGAGGGCCACAGCGTGCCCAGAGGCACTCGGCACACAGCCTGATTGTACCGTGCGACGCATGAAGCCTGCATACTCACATCTGCACGTCAGCCCCAGGCTGCCACAGCTCCAGGTGGCCAATAGCGCATCGAAATGCAGTGGGAGGGATAAGTACACTTCGATAGCATCCATTGCCGAACTTGAATTCCACGAGCGCGTATGATACCCCTACGAAGCGCCCCCGATATCTACAGTGTTCAAGACCCGGTGAAGTGCAACATTAGACAATTCGTCAGACTTCCTTCTGGGCTTCAGGTACCTTCAAAGCTGCTCACGCCGCTCATTCAGATCTTCTACTCAGAATGGGCAAAATTGGCGCATTCTACAGCTACGAGCCCATCCAGCATGACCAGCTTCGGCTTATCAAATTCGACCACATCGGCGATCGCACAGCAGCAGTTCTCCAAACATTCCCTCTCGAAGGACCTACCCCTCCTTACTACGCCCTGTCATACTCATGGTTGACCGAGAGCGCTGCCACCGGCGCAACCATCGAAGGAAATCATGTCCTCGGAACCGACAGAGGATACCTCCCTGTCCTTGACACGGTGACTGGCTTTCTCCGCAACTTGGTCTCGAAAGAAAAGAATGCCGAGACAGACTACACGTGGTGGTGGATCGACTCGCTATGCATCAACCTGAAAGACATGGAGGAGAGGAGCCACCAGGTCCAACTGATGGGACAAATCTACAACAACGCCCACAGCGTCATCATCTGGCTAGGCGAAGAAGGGTCACAAACGGATCGTGCGGTCGACTTCATTCAGTTGCTCAGTAAACATATTCGGCAGCGAATACGCAGTCCCGTCGCGGAGATTCGCCATATCTTTCAGCACCCCCGCTACCAGTCACACTGGGATGCCATGGCGAGTTTCTTTCAGCGGAGATGGTGGTCCAGGACCTGGACTCTCCAGGAACACGCCATGAACGACAACGTCTCCTTCTGGTGGGGACTACGAAGCTTCAGCTTGTTCGAGGTAGAGGGGGCTCTGATGGGTGCAGACCAATGCACCTCGATCCCTTTCAAAGGGACTACTGCCTTTCGTCATGGGTTCAACCGAGGACGAGTACAGACGCTCTACAAGGAGAGACAGATCGAGGCCAACAAGCATCAAATGAGTCTGGTAGCGCTCGCTGCCTACAGTTCATGCTTCGAAGCGACCGATGATCGAGATCGTCTGTATGGCATCAAGGGACTGGCCACCGACACCTCCTTCTTGGATGTAGACTACACTTGGAGCGTGGAAGAAACGTACATTCGCTTCACAAAAGCTTTCATCGACCACTACAAGTCGTTGGATGTCATCTGCTTTGCCTCGATATACAGCGCTTTGCCCGGCTCCGCCCTGCCATCATGGGTGCCCGACTGGCGAGCGAGGATAGACACACTCTCTGTTCCTCTGATGGTCAGCCAAAGCGCAAAAACACACATCGGAAATCTCAGGGCCTCATCTGTTGCCTCTGTGGAGAAGCCCGATGGACCACCGCTGCTCTGTTATGCCGCTTCCAGGGACAGCGCGGCCGTCTACACATTCAGAGACTCGAAGCTCGTCGCCCGCGGGTTTGTTGTGGATGTGGTCGATGGGCTTGCTGCATCTAAGAATGCGGAACTGGTCCAGTCTTCTGCCCAACTGAACTTGACCGAAGACGCATCTGAACGCACAACGACCTCAAATAATGTCATCCGAAAGGTGTGCAAAAGCTTGGTGCTTGACCGAAAAGACCGATTCCTGCGCTTCGCCATGCCGACCGATGAATTCTTTCGCGATTTTGCATGGCTATGTGGCCAGCTCATCATCGAAACGCCATCACCCGTTCTCAAGGAGTTTCAGGAATGGTATAACAATACCAAATCTCTGTTGTTTCATGGGCGCAGCTTCGAGAGCATCCTTCGTGACAGCCTGGAAGTTCTTGACATAGCCTCGGCCGGCCTGTCTCCGAACCAGGATGAGTACATCTTCGACTCGTTTTACGGCAGATTCTACGACGTTGTCGTGAGAATGTCTCTTTGTCGTTTGATAGTCACCCGCAATGGGCACATTGGCTTGACCTCGGAAAAGGCAAGGAAAGGGGATCTGATTGTCGTACTTTTCGGTTGCAGCGTTCCCATTTTGCTTCGGCGGTCCGATGAAGCGGCAGAGGAGAGTTACGTTTCGGTAGGGGAATGTTTCCTGGACGGATTCATGGATGGGAGAGGCTTGGACCGTAATGGTTATGTTGAGAAGGACTTCTGTATCGCATAGTCTTGCCTAAGGACGCCCCTGGCGGTCTCGTAAGTGCCTATGCAGATCGTTCTCGTATGCTCCGTCGCAGTGTACTTCCTAGCGCACACGCACATGAAGCCATGGGTGGGCAAGCCATGGGTGAGAGGAACAGAGCATAGGTACCTAGAAGAAAGACTGTTGTTTTAAATAGCTTGGGGTGGAGGAATCGTCATGTCAACGGTGCCCGAGGTAGACAAGGACAAGGTACATGTAGTCAAGACAGCGTTCTGCCACCTCGACATGCTTTGATATGACCTCATGGATGGCGACAGGACGCCCTCCATGATTTGTAAGCTCTTGGCAATAACCTTTGCATTTCCGGGTTTCCACCATAGGTAGTGATGCGAAGAGCTTGTCACGTAGAGGAACAGGCACTGGCGCTGCAAAACAAAACAAAACAAATCCCCCGTCCAACTGGTTCCGCCAAACACAGTCGGCACCTCGTCTTACTTCAGACACCCACACCACAACAAACGACACCCTTCCCCCAGTTCCATCTCTTCCGCCCAGATGAAGGAGCAAGACGGCGGGCGTGCCTCCTCCAGAAGAGAAACCGGCCGGGAGAGGACGCAGCGCCGGCGGCTGATGACGGCCGAGGAACGCGTCCTCGACCACCGCGCTGAAAAGCGCGCGCAGCGCAGCGCCATCGTCGGGGACAAGGACCTCGTGGCCATGGCCCTCGCCGACCCCGGCTCCTTCAAGCATCCGTTGCGGAGCGCCCTCCTCGACGCACCCCTCTGGCCCGAGGACGAGACTAAGCTCGCGCGCCAGCTCCCCGGCTGTAAGCTGACACCCGCGCAGCGCTTCGACCTATGCGCGGCGACACACGACCTTACGCCCGCGGCCCTGAGCTCCCCGGCCGCGTGCAAATTCATGATCTGCGACATGCGCGTCTCGCCCTTTGATCCGGGCGACCCCGTGGCGAGGATCGAGGTCGCGTACCAGGAGCAGCTGCGGCTGGAGCGGGAGGACGACGACCTCGAGCGAGCGCGGGAGCTGGTTCGCACACCCGAGATGAGGCTCGCCCGCAGAAACGCCCGGGCTATTCTCCGTGAGTTCGAGATGGCCGCCGAGCGTGGCGAAGACGAACCGGACGCGCAGGCTATCTGGGCGCGCATCGGTCCCCAGGCCCCGGAATGGGTGAGGGATATTGACGAGAGCGGCGAGGACTACGGCTTCGCTATACTCACGTCGCGAGAGGCTCGGGCCCGGCCCCAGGCTGCCCGCGACCAGTGGATGACTGTGTTCAACGAGGCGTACCGCGGCGACAACCTCGGCGGCTTCAAGGCGAACCCCCGCGTCCACGGCGGCTCCAGACTCGTGCCGTACATGGTCCCATACTGGGTCGGGCTGGACGATCATGAGGACATGCCGAGTGAGGAGGACCACGCCACCATGAGGGACATGTTTAAGAACAAGGTCCGTCCTCGGCTCCCGACCCCGCGATACCCACGCGACACATTCCTCGTCTTCTCCGACGACTGTCTATTCCCCGAGCTGGACACGGTGGATCTCGACATCCATGACGAGAAGGAGGGGTGGGAGTCCAGGCCCGAGTCGCGGGACATGCCGACCTTCTTCCTGTGGGCGTACGATGCCGAATGGGCGCCGCCCAAGGGGGCAGGAGCCGACCAGGACGGATACCAAGGCCGCGTTAAGGTCGCCGTTCGCACGCTGCTCGTGTGGTTCTACTTCGCGACGCTCACGGGGGTGGATATGAAGGCTATGTGGCGGCGGTCCCTCGAGCTCACGGATGGGGTTTGGACTTGTGAGAACGATATGTTTAATCCTGGGGAGCCTAAGCAGCTGACGTAGGAGGCCAGGGGTAGTTATTTTAATACCTTTTGGTCCCTAGTCTCGAATCGCTTGTGTTGATATTGATCTAAAGGCCTGCATCCGTCAAGCCGATAGTATCGTATAAATAGTCCCTACGGCTTTTCCCTATAAGTTATACTAGCAATATTAGGATCCTTGATCTATTCTACATTGTTAATTTCAGGCCTACTGCTCCTACTACTCGTGAATGGTTAGTGACTCCTTATTAATCCCTGGTGGCCTAGCTACTTAAGGCGTCCGACTGTTACTATTTCCATAAGCATATCGGGAGATCGACAGTTCGATCCTGTCTCGGGGAGTATTATCATATCATCCACACGTTCCCGCCTGCGCAGGCGGGCAGGGCATCGACACTTCGTTTGGACAGAGTTCACATGGTCTCGCAGGAGGGTGATTGGCTCGTTACGGGGAGGGGATATCGTCCCTGCCTCGAAGGGGTCGGAAGTCTCGAGGACGAGTCAGGCCTGGCCAAGTTGGTCCAGGAAGCGGCCAGGCTGCTGCTCGGTCGAGTAGACTGGCCCATAACGAAGCACTTTGGGTTCCTGACGAGGTCGTTGTATGCAGCCAACGCACATGGTTTTGACTAGGTTGGAAAGAATTCCGAAAATACAGAAGGCAGCAGAGTAAAATGAGCGGCAGCCTCTGATACAAATGTTGAACCTTCTCAAGAGACGTTGATGTATGGGAAGCAGCTTGATGTGAGCTCGGTTGTAACATTACCCTCATTACTACACCAGCTTGAGGTGCTTAACTGTTTGGGGCTGGATTGAATATAAGGTCAAGCCAGTCGACCCTCCACCTCAACGCCCATACCACCCGTCGTCGTCGGTCCCTGATAATCCTGACCCGTCCCAAAGAACCACCAAAGCGTGACAGAAATGGTAAACCCGCCCCAAATCAAACTCGCGTAATTCATACTCGCCGCAGTCGTCGGCAGCGCGTATGGGAACGAGTAGATGACGAACCACGCCATCATGTACGCGCAAGCGATCCCGTTGATCACAAACCCAATCCATCCGCGCATGTGGAACGGGCCGTAGGTGATGTTCTTCCTTCCTGTGATGAGGTTCGGTAGGATAGCAGCCAGGAAAGAGCTGCTTGAGCAGAGGATGAATGCGCCGACGAGGGCGTTGAAGGCCGTTGTGTTGCCGACGTAGATGATGGCTAGAAGTGTGGCGAGGATGGCGGTCAACAGGGTCGACCAGAGAGGCATGTCGAGGCGAGGGTTGACTTTGCCGAGGACTGCTGGGAATGGGGTCGCGCCGTCTCGGGCAAGGGCCCAGAGTGTCCGGCCACAGGTCACGTATAGCCCGACGACGGTGAGGGCGATGCAGACCATCACCAGGGAGAGAAGCCCGATGGCCCCAGCAGCGGAGCCGGTGCCCTGGCGATAGATCTCGGCAATAGGGTAAGGCGATTCGAACAGCGAGTCGTAGTCGTTGATGGCGTACATGATGGTGATGAGATAGCAGAGACCCGTGACGAAGCCGATGGACATTTGCAAGCCAATGGCGATGGGGATGTTGCGCTGTGGGTTGCGAATCTCCTCGGCGAGATGCGTCGTCGCATCCACGGCACCGACGCTGAACGCGCCGTTGAGCATGCCCGCTACGAAGACGAAGCCATCGGGATATCCAATGTCTGCCGTCCAATCATGCCAGACAAAGGACGACGAGGCATGGCCAGGCCGCCCAGGAAGTCCAGGCATGACGCCCATGACGATGACGGTGATGAGAAAGCCAGCTAGGATGAAGAAGATGCCGATCTTGTTGAGAGGCGGCATGGCGCTATTGGCGAGGCAGACGACTGCGCACGCGACCCAGGTCGACAAGACGTAGGTGATGAAGACATGCCAAGGAGCAACAGTCAACTCAGGGTGGCCCAGAGCGTACATCTGCACAAGAGTGTTGCCGAGAATGCTCGACATGCTGGCCAGACCGAGGACCCAGGCGAGGTAATTCCACCATCCCGCGAAGAAGCCGACAACACGGCCCCACGAACGGCCCGGGGTGACGGATGCCCAGTGATAAACGCCCGCCGACGAGGGGATGGCGCTGGCAAGCTCGGCGATGGAGGCGGCGACGGTCCAGTAACAGACGGACACGGCGAGAAACTCGTACAGCACCCCGGGAGGGCCGCCGTTGAAGATTGCGACGAGAATGGAGCCGCCAATGGCGGGCCAGACGTTGCCGACCGTGACGCCGAGGCCGGCGAGGGAGATGAGGGAGAAGTTGCGGGAGAGCTCTTGGCGGTGACCGGAGGCGTTGAGCTCGTTTGTGTCGCCTTGGGGGTTTGTGTGGTTGGTCGGGGTCGGAGCGACCTTGTCAGAGTCGTCGATGGCGGCCATTGTGGCGCCGTTGATGAGCAGAGGGTCTTGTTGATTGTGAAGGTCAAGCTTGGAGTTGCAAGGCACGGATACCTAAATAAGCATCGCGAGGTGGCTTGGGCGCCGGGCCGGCGCACCAGATCGCAATGCTTATCTAGGAAGGTATCTGTGCCGTCTCCAAGGAGGTAATTGGATGTAACATCATCATTCATCTTCCGCAGCCCGGGGGAGGACCTTATCTCGCGCGGGGTAGGTAGTATCACGGTCCGGTCCATTCAGGGGCTGGTTATCATGGTCGATCCAGGGGCTAAGATAGTGTTGCAACAAGGGGCACATGCCAATGTCGTGCCGAATAACATCGCTCGCTTCTTTTTCTGTCCTCGTCACCAAGCTTGTTGAAAACAGTTGGCAACGTCGTCGGACGTCTCGATGAGAACCCTGGTTTCATGAGTTAGTGATGGAGCAAGCAACAGCTGGGGATGGGATATCTCACCTTGCACTGTTACAGGTTGGCCGACTATCAGAAGCCATCACACACCTCAAATCAGCACCCAAATTCAAAAGCAAAGTCTCTTTTGGCTGTCCTTCGCAGCGACAGCCCCAAACTCCACCGGGAGCCCGAGCCGATATTACATAACATTTGTGTATCGTACACCCCAAGCAAGGGGACCGAAATATATGCCATCCCCTCCGGATGTTCCCCCAAAAGACCCTTGAAGCGTGTGTTTACCCTTCACCCTCTACTCAGCCTTGGCCGGGAGGATCGCATCATCGCCCATATCAGCATCCTCGGTCACGACCGTAACACCATCCGGTCCCTCACCGTCGAACACCTCACCATGCTCGTACGTCTTCCGCCGCCAGCCGACGGGATCCGAGGGATCCTTGATCCATTCGACTGTGGGGAAGTAGTGCTCATTCTTCTTCATCGTCACGACCCACGGGACGTTATCGAACGTGCAAGCCCTGACGCGGAAGTCTGGGAAACAGCGTTAGCTTATAATCACATAGACGAAGGGGCAAAGACTTACATGTGTTGTCCGGGATGGTGTTGACCGTCGCGATGAAGACGTTCAGGTCAGGCGTCGGCTTGTCGTTGACATGTGTGATGAAGTTGGTCGGCGCCAGGCCATACTGGTACGCCGGAGAGCCCCGGGTCCTAGCCGAGATGTACACCTCGCTGTGCAGCTTGCTAATCTGCTGGCGCACGGCGTGGTGAGGCCGCTGGAGCACAGCACCGCAGAATGACACGGCGTGGTCCGTCTCAATCTCATCAGCAGCGACGGTGTGTACTTGGATGGTCATCTCCTTCTTGACGCGGACGATGACGGCCTCAAGAACCTCATGGCTGTACATGATGTCCAGCTCCGACACGCGGGTGATGACCTTGCCGTTAAGGCTCAGGATGACATCGCCCTCGAGCAGGGCACCGGGCTGCTCGCTGCGTTCAAAGGTGCGGTTGCTCACCATGAAGAGCTGGTGGTGGGTCTTGTTGGCCTCGATGGCCTTATCGATCCATTCCGAGGACACGCCCATGTCCTTTGCTTGGATGATCTTGATGGCGCGGAACTCGAGGGACAGGAGGCGCAGCCGGGGGGCGAGGCCCTGCTGAATCTGGGAGATGACGGGCAGAAGAGTGGGCGTGGCCAGGCCGAGGTGATACTCCTCGTCGCGGTTCGAGACGGAGCGCTCGCCGAGATAAGTAAGCCACAGGGCCTGAACGGAGCCGTCCTGCGCCACGAGGACACCGCTGCCGCACTGCCCGCTGAGGTTGGTGTCGACAGTGATGGCGTCGACGTTGACGGCGCGGTAGCGAGGGGCGCCTGTGTTGGCGGGGATGGCCACGGGGGTGATCTCGGTGACGGTGGTCGAGGCGTGAACAACACGGCCCATCCTGTTGTAGCCGATGAAGTTGGTCGAAGCGCCCTGCGTGATCTGCTCGTCGCTGAGCTTGGCGCTCATCACGGGAGCCTTGACCAGTGCGGGGTCGTACTTGATAATGGCGTAGTTCTGCAGGGGGTGCAGGAAGACGACCTTTGCGTCGACAAAGATGGAGTCGGCAATGGTCACAGTCACGTCGCACAGGTCGTGAGGCACGACGGCCCTAGAGATGACGACGAGACCCTTCTCGGCATCGACAACGAGGCCCATGCCCCACTTACGGTTCTTGGGGAAACCGTCCAGCTTGACGGGCATGGTGCAGTTAACCAACACGAAGCTGCGCACGAGGTCGGCGATCTTAGGGTTGTTGATGTTCTCCAGCTGGATGAAGGCGCCCGAGCTCGGCTCAATGGGCTTCGGGGGCAGCGGGTCGCCCAGGTCCGAAAAGTCCCACAGACCAGTCACGTCGTTGCGCACGGCGAGCTTCATCTTTGTGTTCCAGTGCCTGTCGACATTAATGACGGTGGTGTGTAGGGTGTGGAGGTCGCGCAGGTGCTTGTAGGTGATGACGATCCTGTCGCGGTCGGCGATGCCCTTCATCACCTCAACAAAGGTGTCGAGGTTCGGCGTGCTCTGGCCCGCGACAGTCTGGATGATCCAGCCGTTGTCGGCGCTGTCGAAGCGGAACGAGCCCGTTGCCTCGCTGACGAAGACGCCCTGGCACGCCACGGCGTACAGGCGGGCCTGCTGGTAGGAGAGGTCGTGGAAGCTCGCGCCAGCTACGGAGACGAAGCGGTCGGGGGTGATCTTGTGGAGGTCGCCGACCTCAATCTCAACCTCAAAGTCCTCGCCACCGCGCTGGAGTTGCAGCTTGATCTTGTTGCCGACATTGGAGTCCAGGATGTCGTCGAGGCGGATGAACTGAGTGACCAGCTCGCCGTTGACCTTGATGAGGATGTCTCCCTCGCGGATCTTCTGGTGCGAGGGGCCATCCGGCAGGACAATCTCAGCAACGAGCATGTTGTGCTGCTTGGGGAACGTCTGTCGCGCGAGGGCCTCGTACTCGGGGGTGAGGCCCAGGCGGCGACACTC